GGCAGGGCCTCCCGCTGCTGTAGTTCTGCTGTGCGTGGGCACGGGGCTGGGAAGAGCCGGTGGCGGGTTATCCTGAGCAGGATGCTCTCACCCCAGTTGCTAAACCCGGGAGATCTTTTTCCCACGTTAGCAAGTTCCTGGGGAGATTTTCACCTCCATACTGGCCAGGTGCGAGTCAGCTGCCACCTGGCAGTCTGCTGCCGTCAGCCCTATGCCCAGTCTGGGCTACTAAGTCTCACAAAGCAGCTGGATAGCTGACCTCTGGCAAGGGACATCCTAACACCGAGACGCAACGTGCAGCCAGCTCAGGGCAAGGACAGAGCACCGGCCTGCAAAAGGTAGCAGGAGCATATCTGAGTGTCACCCTGCCATCCACAACGAGCAAAGCCTTTATTTATCCTCTTGCAGAATTAATCTTTGCTACAAAAGTAGAGATCTGCACCACTTAATTCAGGCACCTTCCACCTGATGCTGAGCTACCCTACACGGTGCGCGTTTCTGAAACATCACTATAACCCTCCTAACAGCAGGTAAATCATTAGAAAGAGAGGAGGCGAACTGGCAAACCGGCAGTGGGAATCTCAGACAGTATGAAACTATTAAAGGGACTTGGAGTGAGCAGTAGATTAGTAAAATGCTCTATTTATTATGAAAACAGCCAAAACTCAACCAAAAAAAAAAGAGGGGAGAGGATAAGGAAGAACATACATATAAATGTGAAAGGAGATAAAAATCAGAGTCTTAAGTGAATATCCAGTCTAATTCTTTCCAAAAGGAGTCAGTTTGTGTGTCAGAACAGGAATGCTTGTTAAAGGAGAGACCACTCTCGCACTCATACACCATCCTAGGAGCCTCACACTCACCACCTGAGTGACCGAAGTCCCTTCACAGCAGGTGACTCCAGTGAGTTGGACAGATGTCCCTTCTGACCCCTTTCACACACACATTCTCACCCTCAGAGGTCCTCTCCTCCCCAGCTCAGCCCTAGGTTTCCCATAGCAGTCTCAGATACCAATTCTTATAAAAAAACCAAAATTACTCAGATGGTACAGCAGAAAGAAAAAAATAACAGCTCGAGCTGGGTGCCTCTGGAGAGGGGCCGTGAACAAAGGAATTCCTTGTCAATCATACCTTCACAATCCATGCATCCACCTCTCACGCACCTTCTCGGTCCAATGGTGATTTTTTGGTCTGGGGTCTTCTAGCACCTTATCAGATACTGTCTCCAGGCAGGCTGTTGGCCGTTCTCATCTTGTTGATGGTTTTATCCTCTTTATCTTCTGGTTTGTGCTACCTGTGCACCTGCTCGCTCTGCCAGACTAACCCTGGGATAAGCACTACTTAGCAGCAACCAAAAAAATCAGTATGTTGTCAACATTATTCTCACACTAAATCCAAAACGCCAGCTGCTAAGAAGAAAATCAACTCCATCCCAGCTGAACACGTCTAAATGGAAATTTACAGCTCCAGGCCTAAGGCTTTAGCAAATCTGGCTTCTCATGCTAAGTTAGTAATGGACAAACAGTATATCAAACTACATTATAAACAGTATACTATACTACAACCCCTGCGTCCTAATGCTAAATGATTGGCTCTGAGCAATTAATTCTATTTAAAGCTTGTTTATTTAAGCTAAACATCTAGTGTTCCTTAACAATGCCAACTGTAATTTTCCCCACTCTAGACATGTAAGATGCTGCAGTATGAACGTTAATACAATAAATGCATATTATGACCGAAGATATAAATACAGCTGGCATAATCTGCCACCAATATATCTTAAAATATGTGTGGGAAATAGAAATGGCTGGGTTAGCTCAGAAAGAACAAAGCTTAGTTAAAAGGAGTGCAGAATATACCTGTTACAATCCTCACCTCGTTTCTACAAAAATAGAACATGCCTGAGTATAACGAAAAGAAAGAAGCGAGAAGGTGCTGGGGCACAGATTAATCTAGCCTGAATTTGCTGCTCCTCGGCTGTACTCTGGCCTTTGCGTCATAGCACAGAGCAACTCGCACTGTGCTGCGTTCAGCAGGAGGAGGTGTAGCCAGCAGTAGGAGGTGTAGCAGGCAAGGCCTGTTTGAAGCTAAGAGCAAAGAGGAGCCCAAAGTCCAACATTACAATTTCAATGAGTATGAATGAAATGCCCCAAAATATTACACAAAGATGGTAAAAGTACTTTTCATTACAATTTCTGAGTTCAAGCTGAAAGAGAACAGCTGGGCTTTTCAGAAAATGCTTTGTCTATGTCATTGAAATAATCTAAACTGAGCTTGTTTAATTTGGATGGACTGTGAGGCATTCAATGGTGAGTTATGAAACTACATGCTCAGTGGCCTCTTTCCAGAGCCTCTTGATCCAGGGCTGCAGAAAGGTATTGAGGCTGGGGGAGAAAAATGCTCAAGACGATGTTTCCTAGTGATACCTCTCGTGGACTTCCTTGCTTCAGGGGTCATGACTTGCAGTGACTGTTGGCTACATGTTATTTTCAGGGCACTGGTCATCTCGTGACTCAGCTGAGATTCTGGTATGTACCAGAGCAAAGGCAGGAGGCCTGGATCCTCCCACGAAAATATAGCCCAAAGAATTCACCCCAGAACCTACGTTTCCAAACCACGTGTGGTGACTCACGGAATGAAGCAAAGGCAGAAGCAAGCACCTCAGCTCAAGGTATTTGATTCCTCTGTGCTAAGCAGTAGGCAATTGTGCTATATGCTCCAAAAAGCGCATACCAGAATTCTGCTGTATTACAGAAGATTTTGGGAAGTCACACGCTTTCTTCTTTTTTTTTTTTTTCTTAAAAGGTCTGTGATAGAAAACAAAGGTTAAACATCCGAGGTGAGTCTTGGTGTGAGCCCAAGTTGAGCTACATCCTCATTCCACCTCAAAACCACTGTAGTTGTTGCCTGCTTTGGGGTAAGTATTTCTAATGCTCCACCTGCAGCAGCTTGGGATGACAGCTCTGTCTTCCAGATCAAAAGAGCCAAAGCGCCAGTGAATGTATTTTTTGTAAGCAAGGTGGCGCAGGCGGTTGTTGGCATTGCTATCCATCAGATCCAGAAAGGGGTCTCTGTAGAGAAGAGCTTTATTCAGGGTTTGACGGGAGAGCACCAGCTGCTGAAACCAAACGGAGGTTGTGATGCACTGCCCTTTTTTCCTTCGGCAGCAGAGCTGCTCGTTGTACCTCTGTGCTGGCTGGCATCTGCCGCAGCAGCACCACTTCTGGCAGCCTGGGGAAGAGCCGTCCTGTCTGAGAGGGTGCCCCATGTCATATGCTTCATCCTCACCATCCTCATTGAACTCACTGGTCTGCACTGGCTCCGGTTCTTCATTATCCTGGTTCTCGTCGGATTCGCTGGTGCTGCAGCTGTCAGCATCACAGAATTTCGCAGGGTGGCTCTGCAACAACAATTCCCAACATAAATGAAACAGCATTTGCTGCTTCATCCAACTGCAGAGAGAATTTACAACAGCGATCCTCACCACTGGGTTTTTCATTTGACACAGCACAACAGGGATAATGATGATAGATCAGCAGATCTGGAGGAGGATTGTCTTTCTGGGTTGCCAACGCCCACCCTAGCGAAATCGAATCGACACCTCGCAAGTTGTTTCAACACCAACACACTGTCACTGGCACATACCCACCACAGGAAAGCAGCGATTTTTAGCTCCAGAAAACACATCCTCTGGTCACAGGACCTATTAACTTGAAGCAGACAATAGGAATCTAGTTTTAGCCCCTCAGAATCTAATCTGGAAATATGGGAGGGTGAGGGTGGTGGAAACCCAGATCGGTTTGGAATGACATTCCTCAGTTCTCCCTTCTGAAGGGAGGATCCCGAAGGTTAAGTGTCTGTCTTTACCTCAACAATGGTGCCCTGAGCATGCTGCAAGCTTGTTTTCAGAGGCTTCTTTATCAAGGTAACATGCGGGTCATCAACATAGGACACATACATGACCTGTGTGGCAGAAGAAACAACTATTGTCAGCTGGAGTAGTTACCTGGAGAACTGGGGATGAACAGCAGAGATCTGACCTCAGGGCTTGGGTTCTGCAGTTCATACTCCAGTAACAATCCCCTGCAGCTGCATGTTGCAAGGGCCCCTATTTCCAGTATCTAGGATAGCAAGGACATGGGGAGCTGCAGGGACGGAGGGAACAGGAAGAGACGGTATGGAACTAACTGTAGGAGTGTGGTTGTGCAGGATCTTTAAGAACCCTCCTCTTCACTCTTTAAAAATATGTGTCTAAAATGCTGGGGGATTAATAGAGACAGCCTAGAGAAATAACCATTACAGTCTTGAAAAAAGGAAGCAGCAACTCAAATTGTCAGGGAAGAGGCTTTGAGCAATGCCCTCTCCAAGGACAACCCTTCTGCTGTTTTGAAGGATCATCATTCCCTCCAGGTTTCCCTGATCAAGCTGGTGTGACTCGGCGTGTAGAGCCACTCATGCAGTGCATGCTGTGCACAGCTCCATGGAAGCCTCCAGGATCATCTGCATTTTTGGATCCATAGCACAGCAATTTACATTCTTTACCTGTAATGGATTCAGCACAGTTTCATACTTTTTCTGGTTGTAAATTTGGTATAATGGTGACTTGCCGCGGCTGGTGAAATCTCTCATACGGATACAAATATCAATGGCACTTGCAACCTGCACATGAAATAAAAAGCAAATAGTGGTTCCACTTTCTTAATCAGACTGTATCTCCAGAATTCGTTTTATTAACACAAAAAACCAAGTCTCTCACCAAACCAAAATAGGAGATCATGGACCCAATGTTTTTAATTAGTTCAATGGCGTTAAATTTTCTACCCTTAAAGAAAGAAGAAAAGAATGATTAAGAGGCAAGATCTATTACCATTCCTTCAGCTTAATGGCTTTTCTCTTTCTGTCTCTTCACAATGTATTTTTGCCTCTTTACAAATTCAATCAATCCCAAAATTTCATAGACCATCTCAGACACTGCAGGGGAGAATAAACAACCTGAGAGCGAAACAGTGGTGACAATGGGGTTCGTGACAATAATGTTACGTCACGATGATACCTGTTACTGTTCAGTCTTAAACAACAATCCTGCCTCTTGCTGCTCCTTGCTCTCCTATGCTGCTCAGTTCAGTTTAGATCTACTCATCTGACATGACTTCCATCCAAGAATGATGGCCAGGAGTGAGGAGAGGGGTGTATGGCAGAAATAGGGCTAGGGAAATAGCAAGCTCTCTTCTCCCTCCACAAGGAAAAACAGGAATTGCATTTACTGTGCCGTAGACAAGGACATCAAACCGTATTCCAAAGACTTTGAAAAGGGTTCTCTGCTCTGCCGCCTCTGGTAGCTTGTAGTACCTTGCATATCTACAAAAGAGTAAATAAAGATCTGTGCAGCTTCCCTGAGGGATATATTGCCATGAGGATATAATGCCTCCAGCCCTTTCAGCCTTTTGAAATGCAGGTGCTGAGACCAGTTTGATGAACAGTATTTTGCCCAGCATCTCACCTGGCAGCCTTAACTAAATTAATACACATACAGAGATTTAGAGAAATTAAAAATCCAGCTAATATCCAGCGAGTGTTCTGCTGTCTTGATTCAAACTGGAACCTGAAGCTGCAGAAAGAAGTTCAACCACAGGTCAGTCCCAAGGGCAGCAGGTACTCACAGATCACTCTGTCATTGCTAATCAGAATTTGTTTTAGAGTTGGTTGCCCGTTCAAGTACCGAAAAAGTAAACTAAGAGGATATGTCTGGTGTAAATGCCTTCAGCTCAGCCCCCTGCTTTCTAGCACCTCCAGGTACTCATTCAGATGACAGCGACATCTAAAGAAAAATACATTCTCCTCCTTTCCTTTCTCTTTGGGTTCAGTCCCTGCTGCTCTGCTTTGCCATCTTGATGCTAACAAACCAGCCCTGAGCAAGGTTTTACTTGATTCCACCCTCTCTGCACATCCTACTGCAAGCTAAGTTTGGCAGACTGCGTTTAATCAGATTTCCCTAGATCATGCGATCATTTGCTTCCCGTTCACCGTGATCTGATTTGTATTCTCTGAAGGCAGTGAGTCACTCAGAAAAACACACTGTAATATGTTCTGCTTTCTCCTTGCTTGCACAGACACAAAATGCTCTTTTTTCTGTGCTGAACAGTTCCACAGTGTGGCTAAGACATGTTTTGTTGGTCAGCTCTTCGCCTCTGAAGCCTGCAGGTCAGTTCGGTTTTATCTGAAAGTTTTCCTAACTCTTTCCAGGATCAGAGTTTTTCTCCAGCCCTCAGAGCATAGGATATTTCATATCTGCTCCTGGTGGCATAGCAGCCGTCTCTTCTGTAACAGCTTTGTGCTCAGAGCTGACTGTTAAGAGCTTTCCTGGCTGAAGCTTTGCTCCCTTGAATCTCAAGAAGTTCTTTCCTTTGGAAGGCTAAAGCCTGTTTCCATTTAAGTACCATAAAATTCCCTTTGGAACCGAGATGAAATCAATGCATGACTCCATGCAGACAGAGGTTATAAGCAGCCCAAAGTAGCTTAACTGACTTTGAGGACACCTAGACTGCAGGGGAAGCAGCATTCTAGATGTTTCTTATGCTCTTTTCCAAAATTTTCTCCCACTATTGATCTTTGTTAGCTTTAGGACACTCGGCTGGATGGACTTACGATAATATTTTACATTCTTATGACATGTCACTGATGTCACACAAAGTTCTCTTGAAATCTATTAATTATAGGATCATTTCTAGCTCTCCTCCTTACTCACTTGGGTAGTTCTGCTGAAATCAGCAGCTCTTGTTTACACAGTGTTGGCTCAACAGCGTGGCAGGGTTTGTGCATGTTCTTCGCCAAAACATCCATGCTTGGTTTAAATAGTATTATGCTCAATCTATTCAGTGCTCTTCAACTTTGACTGTCTTTGCTTTTTAAATTGCTGCACTGAACTACTCTGCCCCTCTTTGTCAGTTTTGGAGACATCAGAGAATAACATTTCGTTGCCAATGAACCCCTTGATTAACACATACAGAGTCAGACCACCAGGATGTGGTCTGGCATCATGCACTCGCCCAGCAGCCTATATTCTCAGACCAGGCTCCTTTCCTGCAGCACAGATTTCAGCTGAACTGCAGCAAAATAATCTTGCTACAGACTGGTAGCTTAATGCTTAAAAGATAACAAGTATTGAGCAAACCCATTCTTGGCATTTTGACCCCAGCTATTAATCTGATGCTAAACATCCTCAAAATTATTTCCAACTTTTTCCAAAAGCCTTCTCAGAAACTGCTTTGCCTACAAAAATGTATTCAACAGAAAGGTTGCAGGTCTCAGCCTCCCAGTGCTGTGTTGCTTTTTCCTTGGGATCTCCCCCACCTCCTGCCTGTGGTTGCCAGGTCAGAGGGAACACCTACTTGCTCTGTGCTCACACAGCTCCAGCCCAACGCAGCTCTGGGGTACACTGGTGGCTCCTAGACAGTTATGGCACTCATGTTAGTATCACAAATGTGGGAAAACCCATACCATAATAATAATAATCATGCCATGAGCCAAAAAAGAGTGTTGTTACACAAGAGTTTTGACCTAGATCTGAGGGACAACTTTAGTTTTAAACTTGCTGATAAGCATTTGATAAATGCTTTGTGTAACTATTTACAACTGGAGTCATGTCAAGATTTATTGTCAGAACGCCTCATAAACCTGCTATGTGCACACAGAATCAAAAGCTCTAATTTGCTTTTCAATAAATCTTGATTCAGTGAACTGTGGGGTTACCTAGACGGAAGGAAACCACTTTATTTGTGTTAATTGTCTTGGGAAACTCACAGGCTTAGGTAGTTTCAAGCCTCAACTGCCATATGGTGAAATCTGCCCAAACTATTCTCTGTGTTAGCTCCCAGAATACCTGTTGGAAATTTCTAGGCCTTTCAACACAGAAATAAAATCTCCTGCAATACAAGCATGCTCATTTGGAAGATGACCACACTGATACATCTGCAGTAACTGCAGGTTAAGGACATGACTACAAGAGTGAAGAAGGAGAATCAAACATCTTGTTATTCCCTGTCACCATTCCCCACACCTCATCACATCTTTGCTTCAACTCTGAAAACACATTACTACTTCATATAACAGTTTCTTACCTGAAGTGGAATCCAGGAGATATTTTTTTGTCATCAAGGCGGCGGAAAGAATACTTTGGACTGCAGTCGTAAAACCAGCTGTCCAAGTTACAGTCCCAGTTAATTTCAATGGCAATGATTCCTCCCTAGAAACAGACACAGTAAGCTTAGGGACTGGTGCGGTCACTGCTGCCTGTGCTGAACTGCTGTTACAGTCAGGGAAGACTTGAGGGATGCCACTGGCAGGAACACATCTCAACATACACACTAACTCATGAACAACATTGCCGAATGATGGGTCTCTTATGGAAGTGACTTAGTTACGTGAGCTAGAAGCTACCACTCATTCAGGCCTTTCCTATATTCTCTTTCTCTTCGTCTTAGAAGCACAAGTGTGGACGTAGCTGACACACTGCGACAGTTGTTTCATTGCTTTAAATTACACAGGCTCAAACCAAAAGCCTGAGTGCAAGCCTAATTTTTGTAGGCACCCAGTCCAAATGTTCCATCTTGAATGCACTGTGCCAGGCTGAGAATCAATAAATGGGGCTCCGTTGATGACACTGGGCAGGACACTTTGTCTCTACCTCTATTCTACCCATCTGTTAATACGGACATTCTAGAGGTATGGCTGGATACTGTGTTAAGGGCATTTGGCTCAATACCCTAAAGAACAGTGAAAATGTAATGGCAAAACCAAGTGCTTTTTGACTCTGAATAGAAGCTGCCATTTGTGCCAGTCTGACTTCTGGATTATTCCTCCAGCAATGTGATTTAGGATCTGCTTGAGCAGAATCCAAAGATGACCATGAGTAACGGCCTTGTATAGGACCTACTTGAATGCATTGTGCGTTGTAAAAGGGCCTCTACGCACTACAATGCTAACAAAATAATACAGCCCTGTCCACGTGGGGCCCATCCTGTGAGATGTTAAGCACAAGTAATGCTTGAATGTTGGGCTTTGCTTCTCACACCATCTGTTTCTAAACCTAGAACAATTCCTTTATATGGCAGACAGCAAAACACACAGGAAGAGAATCAAGAAAATGCTTTAGCACTGAGGATGAAAAGAAAAGTGATATCACAGACCTTTACCGCCATCTCAGAAAAATTCTCTTTTGCTTCCTGAAGGATATATCCCAGACGGAAAATTGGACAGAGTGGGGAAGTTATCTTGTTGTATGTGCAGGAAGTGTTTAAATTCGGTGGAATATTTAGTCTGTGAAGAACACACACAATTGTTTGAATTTAAAAACAAGCGGAAGCAACTACAGATACAGGAAACGATGAATTCTTCGCTCTATGGATAATATCACTAGCAAAATGTTGCCTGTGTAAACTAAACTCTTTCACTGTATAATTTGAATCGCACATCTGTGCTCTGTATTTTAGTGATTTTACCCTAACATAAACCAGTATTACTGAATGAGCAATCCTGTTGTCCAGTGCATGAAAGAAAGAGAGTTACAGTGAGAGGCTCACTTCCCAAGCGCTCCTTATTTCTCTTGGTTTCTGAAAGATTAACAGGGCTAAAGAATTAGAGAAACTTGGTATTTGTCACTCAGGCAGGTACAGCCCTGAATGCATAGCTTTTTGGAGTAAAGAAGGTGCCAGTCTATAGAATCTTTTTTCAGAGCACAACTACTCACTCTTCAGAAAGCTTCGAGGAATGTTTGCACTTACATGGTGTAATTAAATTTTGGGAACTGAATGTTGTTCTTTATTAGCACAGTGAAGTCTTCCGAAGTACTCAGAACAGCAGGCCTAAAAAAGAAACGTCAATTTAACTAACCTCTTTTACATAAATACACCAGTTAATGTTATGTCACTTTACTATTACCTGGAAAGCTGTCAGTAGGAGGAATATGCTGCTAAGAATAACAGATTGAAATGCAGGGAATTAGGTGGCTCAGGGGATCAAAAAAGATAGAGGTGGTTTTCTTACTTTCAGGTATAAATTGTTCTTTCTCTATTGCACTTGTTTGTGTGGGCCAAGCCTAACTGGAGACTCTGCATGCAGCTGAAATATGATCTCAGGAGACTTCTCATACAAATCTTGCTATAGAATAGTAAGAAGTGACACCATTTGACAGCTGATGATTTCTGCACAATGAATTGGCAGTTTCACTGCGAGTCCCCACAGACAGGTGGCCATTTATACCAGAGCTGCACAGCTAGTAAGGGTATGAGAACGAGCCACATGCTCGATCCTTGAGGATGTCTCTGGAAGTCAGGGGTCTATCACAATACCAGGTGTTCTGCCTTCCTAGCAGAATCCAGTTTGAGGACCTCCCCTGCAGCGGTTTGTGTCACTGGTTTGTGTCACTAATATGTAGGTGGAATGCAAACACAATGGAAAGCAGGCTGCCAGCCTGACCCTTCCTTGAAAGAGTGCTTTTTCTGAAGTGAATGTGGCAGGAAAGAAGGAATTTTCTCACAAGTTGCCAGCTGTTATCTTAGCCTAGACTGCGAGCCTCTGCCACACTCCAGGACTTGCCAAGGCTATAGGAAAGTAGGAGATACAATTTTTAGCATTGTTTGTCTAGCATAGGGACTAGGCTGAACTGGAATACTGGCATTGTTCCATTTTAAGAATGAGCCAGAAATATTTTAATTTCCATGAAGACAGCCACTCCAAGGGGGAAACCCAGTCTTCAAAGCAGTCATCCATGTAAAGGACAGCGGTTCTAAGCAGGGAATATTTTTCCTATCATTGTATTTTGAGCAATGCCTCTGCATCAGAGATCTGCGATGACAAGAAGCACATTAGCTGGATGACATGCAGCTTCCATGAGGAACTTCTCAAGAGCGTCTTCTAAACCAAGTCAACAAATGAGACTTGATTGCAAACCACATAAATATTCGCGGATGCTCCCTGGACGTGGAAGCCACTGATGAGTTTCAGTGTATAATAGTCAAAACATTAATAATGTATGTTAATTCTCAACAAACTACAAATGAACAAATCTATAATGTGAAACTACCCATAATTCATCCACTGGGAAGTATGTGGATTCTGACCCAAAGCTCTTTGGAAAAAGGCACTGTAAACACCTTTCCTTCAGCCAGCGAATCTGACTACTGTGCCCTGCCTCAGGCAGAAATAACAATCAAAACTAAAAGAATCTTCTTGCCAGCAGGCAACAGCTTTGTTCAGCTCCTGCCATAACTCACAGGAAGGAAAAGGAGGCCTCCTGTATAGTTCATGAAACTTACCTTCCAAAGGAATTTGGGCAATAAAGACAATCATGGGTGTAACCAAAGCCCAAGACTGCTGCCTCAGTATCTCAAGCAGATGGCAAAGCTTCCTGGGCTCTGAGCCTGGTCTGATGTATTGTTTTGGTAGAAAATAAATACTCAGCTTTGCTTTTCACTGATCCCTCTTTTTTTTTTCCTTGCCAATGGAACTTGTGAAGGAACTTTAAACATCAGAGGTTTGGATCAAACCTCTCATCATTATTTTTGGTCCCTGGTAGTGACCGACTATTGGCACTTCAGAGGAAGGGTAGGAAACAAGACAGAATGTGTCAACTGTGCAATGTAATTAAAAGCAAAATTCCCTCCGTAACATACACAGCAGTGAGCCTACGCAGTGTGACATTTAAAAATGACTGGCAGTCACTGAAGCTTTATAAAAAATCCCTAGGATTTCATTAACACAGGAAGCTCATGCATAACTTGCCCAGATGCTGTATGAACAATTACAGGCTTCTTCTTGTTGGACAAAGCCTTTTTCAGATGACAACTCTGTCCGGAGGATAAAGGAATGGAAATTCCTTTAAAGAGCTGAAAAAAAACTCAGCAGAAGGAGCTGTAGGAGGTATTGTGGGCTCTGGAGGGGACCTGGCAGTGGAAAAACTGCTCAGTCTCTGCAGAATATCCCAAAATAGGGAAAAGATGGGTTGTATACATAGAGTCACATGTGTCTCTTACAGCAGTGAGTTAATAAAAGTGATAATTGACCTAGTTTCTTATACACATATTTCAAAACTGGTTTAGAGGAGCTAAAATTGATTATCATTTGCTCTCTTAGAATATAATTTCCATCATTTCAGCTGAAATAAAATATTTTATAACTTTTTTTTCATGCTTTGGCTGATACAGAATAGAAACAGAACATTTTCCTCTTGGAAGACTGTACAGTCATGGGGTTACACACACAAAAAAAGGTGGCTATGAGGCTCCTCCATCCCACTCTCTAGGTCACAGCAGCATTGTTCCGTGGAGTCTTTTTCCTAGAGTTTTCTTCAGCTCACTATTACAGACTGCCAGCATTGAAGTTGTCATCATCTGCCTAGAGAGGATGGACCGTTCTTTGGTCTGAGGTGGATCCCCAAGCACCAGCCTGCAGCCTGCAGATCTATCCCTACAATTCTGGGAGGTGGAAGCAACCTCACTATGATAAATGAATTCACAAAGAACTTTAACACCATAGAGCCCTAAGCCTTGCAGAAGAAAACCCCACGTTAGGAAACTTCTTTATTTCTGTCACTGATTAAGCTATCTTACGCTGATGCGTGTTCCTTGACATTTGAATTAATGAGCCAAATGCCTCCAGTGAATTCAAGATGAGCCTGTGACACCTAAAACTGTTTCTATGGCAGCTGCATGATGATACAAACTGGAGGCTATGACTTCACTGCAGAATCATACAGCAGGACAGATTGGTAGAAGCAAGTTATTTAGATACTGTAATGAGTGCTAACAGTTTGGGGATGAAGAAAATAGCTGCTTTACATATATGAAATCTATATGTGCCTAGGCAAAGGGTTTATCCTAAAGTTTCATTACTTTCTCAAAGTAAATCCTTATTTTACATTAAAAAAATGCAGCTACCTCTTTCACTTACTTGGGGGGATTTTCCATGGGTTCCACAGGGCACCATGCCTTGACTTCACAGGTTTTAACAGTTGCATTATATTCCACACATCTTCCTGTTTGAATTCCTGTAGAGAAACAAGCTCTTACTCAGCAGACAAGAGTTTTTCACCAATCTGAAGCAGTTTCAACATGTCAGTGGATTCCTCCTTGAATGTAAGACAGGGAGGTTTACACTTCAGATTGTTTCCTCCTTTCTATAGGAGGAAGCTCTAGGAAGAGCTACCCAAACCATGGTCCTGCCACACCTCACCAATCCTTATTTAGCCACTTGCTTGGGCCAACAGTGCTTGTCATTGTTTGGGCTGAGGGTGAAGTAATTTCCTTCAGTTTTATATGAACTTACGTATCTGAGTCTTGGGATAAATCAAGAAATCAAGTGTTTCAGTCAGAAGTTTAATTCAACAACATGAGCAAATTAAACAAGTATATAAAGGTGGAGAGAAAACCTTAATCCTTTCTGCACGCCTGGAAAGTCAGCGTTTTCTGTGAGTGTTTAGTCTTTACCAGGGAAAATGATAATCCAGCCAGCAGCCCAAATTCAGGGAATCTCACACTATGAAGAACTCACATAGCTGATGAAAACAGGATGATGCGTCCTGGACAACTGGTCCCAAATAAAGAACACAAGTCCCCTGATTTATCCTGAGAACTACCTAACCATCATAGAGGTGTTACACCCTTCAAACAGATCCTGCAGTCACTCCACTTGCTAAGCAGCCACGGACTTCAGTGGGAAATGACTGTGACATTGGGCCTTGTTCACACCAGTCCAAACTCTTCTTCACATCTCCCCTTCCTCTGCTCCCTCTCACTGTTTATCCTTTTAGTAAGGGCACACACATGCTGGTAAGAACTCAGTTCTGTGGTTTTGAAAATACGTTTTCAGATACCTCTTAGGATGCTGTACTGTTCTACTGCAATTCTCCAGGTTGGATCTAACTTAGTTGCACATGCTGCACTGGTCAATAATGCAACAGAAGACAGTAGCCACAAACAAAAATTCAACCTGAAAATGCCATTTACGTACCATGACTGTGGATATCTACACCACCTTTTTCACAGGATTTGTCTGAAGAGCAGATTGCTTTGGCGAAGGGATACTGGGGGGAAAATTACATAAAAGAGTAGTATAAATATCTCCCTATAAATTTCTCAATATCTAATACAAATATCTCTCTGAACATTTTGCTTTATTATGTACATCTTTTCCCGTTTTCCACACCCTCTCCTCTACTATTAAGCACAAAAAACAGTCCCATATACTTTTGCCAGTGAAAGTCAACTTGTATTCAGGAACTACTCTGCAAGGTCCCACTTCTAGGCCAGCCAAATGAAGAGAAGAGCTGCAGCTGATGACCAGGTTTGACCTACAGAAAGGAAGGGAGGAAAGAAGGGGATATGCAGGAATGAGCAACAGTCATAGTAAGAGCACCATATTAGCAGAGAAGCTAAGAGCAATTCTGTAGCTCCATCGTTCCTTCTGGTTTTCCTCAAGAGCAGCAGCAATGCCAGCAAAGCCATCAGCTCCTGAAAGTGATGCAGACAGGTTTGGCTGCAAGGTCACTGCTGCAAGGCAAAGCCCCAACTGCCAGCTGATTCTCCAAGAAAGAAAAGGAGTGATTAAACTAGATCTTCCGTGTTGTCTGTTGAGATACAAACATGAAGAGCAACAGTATTTGCTTGTACCATACTGCTCCATGGACAGTCCACTCTTCTCCATCAACATGCATTTGATACATCCCAAGTATAAATCATAAAACATATTTACCTCAGGGCAGCTCCCCTCAATCTGATTCTCTGTCTTAATGATGTTGGTCATCACAAAAAAAGAGTTTACTCCCTACATGGAGGAAAGAATATGAATCTGACTGAAATTTCACAGACTTGATTCAGACCTCAGTCATTCCACAGCATCACCTGGAAGGACAAGGCTGTTCCTGCTCTACCTGCCCCCAGACAGACCTTCAGATTCTACCTGTCTCAAACAGGAAAAGTCAGGGACATCATCTGGGCAGGAATGAGCAGCCAGAGGCAAGAAGGCACTGATTTTTTTTGAACGGGCATTACAACTGAGAAAGATACACTAGCATTAATTGGTAATCCCATGTCTGTGTTTAGTACAGTGATACTGGAGTGACTCTGTCCTGGATTGGCTACTACCAAAACACAAAATGGGTTCTGTAAAAACTGTGCAAAAGCGCAACAGAAATCTCATAAAAGAGGGTAATTTTTTTTCCTTATATTAAGGGAGGAAGGGAAGATTTGGGTTTAAACATTGCTGTCTCCAATGTCATCACAATGAATGGTGATTACATACAGACATGTCAGGAAAACAACCCGATGTATCAGTGGAAATCAAATACTGGACTGACATTAAATTAAGACTTGCCTGCATTGGTATAGCGTATTCTGCTGGATCCCAGACCCTGTTGTTCGTGTACGCCACTCCCTTTATGCTAGTGCGAACGGAGCTGTTAACTTCATCTGTCTCCTGATGGAATCTGTAAATGAAGACTACACAACTGGCCAGATAAAACAGAAAGGACAAATAGGTTTATAAGAACAAAATGGGTCAGCTTATTTCACTGCAAGGTAGAAGACTGATGTTTTCAAGTAACTGAGAGCCTTTTTGTGCAAGACATGCTGGACAAAAGTCTACCTTGGTTTCACTTCTGCATCTTTTGGCTTTGTCAGAAATTAACTGATACACAAGCAAGAAGAGAATTTTCCCATCTTAAATGATGTAGACAACACGAGCTGACATCCTGGCCTTCAGATGCCATTTGTAAAATACCAATTAACTGCAACAGGGCTTGGTGTCACCCAAAAACTTTCATTCATGCAGTATTGCTGTGTACCTGGACTTTGACTTTTTCTGTCATAAACAGTAGTCTCCTCCCTACATTTGATTTTTTTTTTTCCTAGAAAAGCTTAAAATCCTTAGTCCTTAACTTTCGTTACTACGAAAGAGCGACTACTTTTGTGCCTCACGCTGATTGCATCAAAAACCTTGGCTTAATATTTTTCCTTTCTCATGAATTGAATGTGTTAATAAAAGAAGGAAGGATGTCTCTGTTTTTAAGCTGACCAGAAAGCTATCGAGCTCATCAAATTTACAAAAGCACTGTCATCTTTAAAAAACTATTGTATGTGCAGAAGAGTCTCTCCACGCTACATAGAAGTGCTACAAAAGGCTTGCTTTGAAAAACATGTCTGAAGAGCTAGCACCACTTCAACAGACTGTTCCAGGGGGGGACATAAAATAGTATCTGAAGAACAGAAATACAAAGCAACTGATCAACGTTCCTTTATTTATATCGTCCTATTATAATAGCATTTCAGCCTTTTTCTTCTGGAGAACAGTGCTTTGGGATAGCCACATTGTTGGGAACTGGCAGCAGGAGCCCAGCTCTGAGCAGCAGTAGGTGGGTACAGCACCTCAGTAAGGCAACTTGAATTTCCTGCAGATGTGACTCTTTCTGAGATTGGGATCAGTGTGCTCAATGTCCTGGCTTGCTGCCCTCCCATGAGAATGGGAACCAACTTTAGGAACTTCAGCAGACTTTGTTCAACAAACACTTATCACTGAGAACAGCCCTATTTTGGCAGCAAAGAGAAAAATCTGCCCTTTAGAGGCAATCAATTATTCCATATTTCTCAAACATCTTATTGTTCTTGAAATCTGCTGCAACGGGTGACTTGCCATTTCATGGGAGCCTGAATAGAGCACTCCACAGAGCACTCTTATCTCAGAAACACTGGTGTAAATCTGAGATTATTCGGGGGAGTTATTTTGGATTTTTCAGACAAGAAACAAAACCAGACACGGCAAGAAACAAAACTGAAAGCATTTCTTAGAGGAAGCTTAGTTAACTCTGTCCAAGCAACCCTGCATTGTTAGATATCCTATGCCACGCTCCCACCTCAAAGTTCCCACAACCTCATCCATCTTCCAGGAACAGCCTAAAACCAGCTCAATCATCTTGTTTGTTGCCACAAAACTCAAAGCACTGAAAGCCAAGCTGTAACCAGACAACCCCCACTACAAGACACATTTGCTCCCGGACGACATAGCATCCAGTCAGCATTCACTTACCAAATAGACAGAACAACAGTTGCCCAAAGGAGACATTTCACAGTTCCCCATGTAACGCTCTGAATGCGTACGTATTTGGGAGAGTCGTACTGAGCCAGAGACTTCAGCCAGGCACGCAGATCCATTGCTAGCACTTCCTGTGAGGTGCTGCCTTTTGAAAATTGCAGCTGCCTTGTGCTGTCTTCCCCACCCCTGCATCCTTCGCAGGCCACCCCACTTAAAGGCACAGTGTGAAACCCATACGACAATGGTGCCACAGGCCTTTTAAAGAGTGGCAGTTGATGGAATCAAGAACTGCCTAAAGACCCATGTTCTTTGGTTTGTTCACAGAAAAAACACCAAATTTCACCCTGCAGCTCCGGAGCTGATTGCTCAGCACTGTTCTTATGACCTTCCATTGATGGCACCATCTCTCCTCTGCACTACCAGACTGGCCAGTCTGAAGTCACGCTGGGACAACTGTAGAGATGAGGCTAAATGGATGGCAGCCAGCATCATGCTGACCTCCTTCTGGGCCTGCCTCTCCACCGCCCAACACTTCGCATCAGGGCAAAGAAGATGTAATGCACTTCTGGACTGGGCAGACACGTGCAACACCCACCTCGCTGGGATGGCAATGGCCGTACAAGGCACAGGCCAATGACAAGCTTTTGGGCCATCAATGGCCAGAGAGATCTCCAGCCTCTTGTCTCACATAGCATGGGACACCATTCTGTTTGGTCTTAGATTGGTTTTATATCAAGTCATGGAATTCAAAGGGAGTGACAAAGCCACTACTCCTCTCAGCAGAGCCAATACACGGCACATGTTTTGGCTGCGGCCTCTCTTGCTCCACAGGACAATGCAAAAGGCAGAGCTGGGCAGCGTGCCGCAAGCCAGCTCTTTGCATTCAGCCCAGGGGGACATGAAGCAGGTGTGAGGCTACCGTCTGACACTGTAAACACAGGAGGCGGAACTGTAAAGATGCAGAGCTGTCAAGGTGGAACCTGTAAATCTCAGGCTCAGAGTCTGAAAGACAAGAATTTTGGATCGGAATGCATTAGACCCAGATTAAAATGACCAGGGTCCTCTCTCTTGCAACAGAAGAGCCACATAGAGGCAAAAAGTATAAACCCTTCAACACAGGTCTAACATTTTTCTTCCAATCCTTTAGTATTTTAAATCACTTAGGATGCTACCTGTGGCTATAGTAATGAAAAAACATTCAGAACCAGACAGGCTTCTTGGCTGCCTGTACTGTCTTAAAAGCTTTAGCACACAGGAACAAGTCATATTTTGCATAAACAGGTTTAATTTTTGGAGACATCGGTGATCACTCCTTAGGCTTTTGCTGACCACAGTCCATACTGCTATTGTTCGTATGAGTGACACTTCAGCAAGCAAAATCCTGCTAGATAATGACAACTGAAAAATCTGCAAGTGGGACCAGAAACAGACTTGGGATGTGTTTAGGTGCTAGAATAGCCACAAAGAGATTTTTAGTACATACACATACCAATATTTGTAGTAAAAGAGACAAACAGTAGGGCTCAGACTTCATAAACAAAGCAGAAGTGCGTGTTGTCTTCTCCTCCTAAATGCTCGTTTGCACATTAACGTCTTCCATCTGTTGGGATCTGCCTCAGCAGCTCAGCCGGACGTATTCATCTTCTTGCCCATGATGTTCCCATATAAGGTGATCTCTCTTCGCCTGTCGAGCACGATTTTGATTTGCTCGGGTTTTGTTCCACTCTGATTTGCTGGCCTCTACAGTTGAGCTCTCACAGTTTTTCAAGGCAGTCATCCACACAACAGTAGCTATAAAGGGAGGAGAAAGTCAGGACAGAGTAAAGCCTGCAGATCTGAAGATCTCTGGAGAGTTTATTTGCAGGATCCGTTCTCTTTCTTCCACACGTTGCCTCTGCATGATGCCTTTTCAATAAGCACCTTCCATAAGCTTTTCCCAAGCAATGCAAAACATAAGCCCTATCCAGAGAACTGGATGGAACTATAGGGCTGAACTGTTAATAACTCTCATGTCATTAGGAAACTTTGCTTGAAACCCTGTATCACTCTCCATGCAAACTTGAGAATCTGGAAAATGGCCCCCAAATTATACAACAAATATATATGAACACTGACCTTTGATTCTGTAACACTTGATCCAAATACCACATCGTCCCGACTTAAGACAAGTTAAGCATCAAACAAGTCTCTCAGCTGCTTCCTGTAGCATCTACCCAAGGCTGCACTGAAAGGTATCACCTTGAAGATTCTCTGGTGATACAGAGGTCAAGACACTGAGCTAAACCTTGGGGTTTTTTTAAGCAGTAACTTGCAAATACAGACTGTAGATACAAGCAGCAAGGCGGGCAGCCGGAGCCAGCAGCATGCCTACTTTGGGCTGCACGCACAAATAGCACCAAGCCACTGGAAGAAAGGCTCATGAAAATAAACAACTTCAAGGATGACACAGGATCCCTCACGCTCTGCCCAAGTTGGGAAGTCCTATAGAACTGGGGTCTGATGTATGATTTTGCTCCTGCCTTCAATCAAGCCTTCAATCAATGACCTTTCAGACAGGCCAGCAAGCCGGGGCTCAGCCAGTCCAGTTCTAATGACGACTTGTCATGGAGGGCTCCTTCCCCAAGAGTCAGAAAAATGACACTTTATGGCTTTCTACCACAACAGAGTGAAACAATCTCACCACCTTTTTCCTTCTTATCTAAAGTTGTCAGAGATCCTTCCTCCCCTTTATGTGTTGCCTCTTTAATGTTACAGACACAAGGGGAATGGTCCCTTGCTTCCTGGAAAGTGCAGGGACTAAAGCAGTCTGATATAAAGCAGAACCTCAGAGCAGCATGCTCCCACTGTACCCAGCACAGGTCCCTCTTCATCCTCAGCACTGTACACACCATCTCCTCCGTACCGAGGCACGAAGAAAGGATGCGTCTTAGTATTTACAGAAACAGCGTTTCTCTAGCACATCCACCACTTCATATGGCCCATTAATGCGGCCTGCAGGGAGCAGATGTGACCCCCAGCTTCTCCACAGGAAATACTGTTTTCATTTTTTCTCTTTCTGTATTCTATATGCTCAAAATACCATCAGAAGAAAAGCATAATTGATACCAGGAAAGCATGTCAAGGAAAAGTAGATCTCTTCTGGGAACTTGTAGGTAAATACAATTCCTAAAGGTCAGTATACAGACTGAAAGAACAAAGGAAACATGATCTGGTTTTAAAGTTCAAATCCAGGAGTCAGGAGACTTGGATTATGTTCCTAGCTGTACCACAGCTTTCGTGCACAATCACAAGCAATGCATCTATCCCCTCTGTAACTTGGCTTAGCCAGTTAAAAGCCAGGACACCAATGCAGTGTCACTCCTGTGAAGACCAGTAAATAAGTATTTTATGAAGTGTTTTCCTCAGAAAGAAAAACGGAGATAACCTAAGATAGATGCAGTGTTTAGAAATGCAAAGGATCCCATTTATGATTGCTATTTACTGAATCAAATTCTGCAGTGATTTACAACCTGTGCATTTCAATTGGCACCAATTTAATATGACTCACTGCATATTTTAATCCATCATCTGTGGACTCACATGGGATTCTAGGACTAACCAAGAAGCTAATTGCAACAGCAGAGGCTCAAAAGTCCAGCTATTTAAGGTCTAAGCATGTTTTTTTAAGGATCTGCAACAAAAAGCTTGCAGATTATGAGATACCCATTTAATGAACAAGTTTAATATATATTCATTTTTTTGGGTATTTTTGAAGCTCCTGTCCTTGTTTCAGATTTAGCATAGCTAGCACTAGATATTTATTGCTACTTTGAGGCACGCTGTCAACTGATGCTCAACCCTGAGGACATAAATTTGCCATTTGCCTCTAAAGCAGCCTGGCACAGGACTGGCATTCC